TTAGCCAATATGGTCCCATCACAGGGCAAATAACAACCCTGACCTAAATTGATTTCCATAGTTGCCGCTAGCCATAGAGATGCTGTGGTGCTCAAGGACAAGGTGGGATTTCACAGAGTGGTTTCTTAGTCGCAGAGTCAGCATTACTCAAGACAAAAAGAGCGAGCGATGATGCAACAGAGACTAAAAGGACAATAAGCGAAAAACTGCAGAATCAGGTTTTTCAATCTGAAAGTGGAATGCTGAATGTTACTCACAACCAGTGAGACCAGTGAGCACATTCGGGAGAGTCGAAGCACTTAGAAAAGATGGAAGAGAAAGCTCTCAGTCAGTCATGCCTGCAGATGGAAAGAAAGTCTACCTATGGCAATCATCAGGTCCAAAGGTGAAATGAAAGGGCTGAAAAGCAGCTGATGAGGACTTCCTGTAGTTTAGGCATTTTCCAATGTTCTTATCCCCAGTGCCCTGCATTGAATGGGCAGGTAAGTGTTCCCTTTATTGCTCTGAGTTCAAGTCCACAATGGGGATTGAACCGGCAGCCGTTTTGTCACTTGGAACCTCTTAGCAACAATGAGGATTAGAGAGATAATAACATTTAGAAAATAAAGGATACCATGTGGTTAAAATGTCAAGTCCCTACTGTACGCTCTACTGAGAGGCTTTCACAGTATTCTCATTAAACTGCAGGTACTTTCTGAAGCATAACTGTGTGCTTCCATGATCAATGACCACATTTACTAAGCTTTATAGCTAACTCACAATACACTACACATATTCAGCTTACAAACAAGTGATAGTGGAGAAAAGCTAAGCACGTTTTGCTTTGATTTTCTACTAATGTTGATTGCCACAACCTGAATTTTGTTGCCAATTGTGAATAAGTGAAGTGTGTGAAATAGCATAATTAAGACTGCAATCTTTCCAGATAAGCTTTGATTCACCTAATAAGCATAAATCAAAACCGAAATCCATACAAAGTTTGAAATCTTTGATTACTAATTAAACTTTTTGGACACATTTCCACAAAACACTGTAAAAACTATGTTTGAAATGTTGTGGGATTTTTGTATTTGGTTTGTAAAACTGAACTTTTGGCACATGCAAACTACAGCAAAGATGGCATCAAACACCGAGCAGTTGGACAATGCAGAGGCTCATGCAAAAATCGCTTAGCAGCACCACCACACCAGGCTTGTAACCAGAAAATCCTCAGATATAAAAGCTGAATAAAGATGAGAAAATAAAAACTTGCCTTCCCACAATAACTGCCATCACTGTGTTTTTAACCAAGACATTAAATCCACATAGGCAGTAGAAGATTGTTTAAAGGGTGAAAATGTGGGTATGGGCTGTTACTGAAGAAGAGCATGCACGCTCAAATTTTAGCCATGATGGAGGCTCTATGAAGACTTCAGTTGGTCAGTCCACCACTGTGATCTAGACTGAAATATCTCAACAACTATGGATGGATTACCGTATAATCTTATACAGATATGCATGGTCTCCAGAGGATGAATCCTACTGACTTTGCCGATCCACTGACTTTACCTTCTATGGACACCATGAGGTTGACATTATGTATTCTAGGGGTGGTTTCATACCTGCCCTGCTTGGTTTGGCTCAATCGAACTCAAGTTTGTTTGCCCCCTATGTGCGGTTCGTTTGGGCAGGTGTGAACAGGGCAATCGCACTCGGGTGCACACCAAAACAACCAGACAGAGACCTCCTTGAAGAGGTTACAAACTCTGGTGCGGTTTGTTTGTGGTGATCCAAACCAACTGCATATTATTCATTGTTTGGGTTAAACAACCATGAGAATGTTACAGTCCCAGACGCCTCCTCCTGTACTGCCTTAATAAGCGCATTCGGCCGCCCAAAACATCATAACATTGTTTTCTAGTTGGAGCCGCGCCTCGTTTTCAAACTGTATGGTTTGCCTAAAATGAACAATGCAACCAATATAGTACACAATGACCAGCACCAAAATCAACCTGCGTAGTTGTCCCTCCATCGTGACATTAGAAAGGGTCACATTTATCATGCAAGTGAACTCTTCTTCAATGTTTTGTTTATTTCCTGGATTTTTCCCACATAGAAATTCTGACCAATCAAGAGCAGTATTCTCATGCAAGGCATTTGATCTGGTCTGCTTGTAAATGCTGCCGTGAGTGCACAAACCAACTCTAGGCAATTATGCAACTACGTAACAAAATAAGTCCCTGATTCGGACCCAAGCAAGACAACTCTAGGTCTGAAAGCACCCTGAGGAAATGTCTTGACAACTACAGGAATTGCCACTGGTGCAAACATTTAGCTCAAAGCACGGCTGTGCCTAAGTACAGCCTCACAGAGCCACTAAAGTGCCTCAGTCTTGTCAATGGATAAATAAATATTAAACACTACACATTACATACTGTAAGAGCACACAATCAGCTGTGCCTGGACCAACACCCATCAGCTATCAGGCCACAACCATGGCCCACGTTTTCAAAGACTGACTGAGGCCATGCAAGATGTATGAGGGTGTGTTGCTGTGTGGATGCATGAGTGTGTCCTCCTTATGCCATCAAAGGCTTTTGGTGGGCGCCGCAAGCGTCTGCCATTAGCACACAGGGGCAGGAAGTGGCTTCCCCTCCAATTATAACTTCCCCACCTCAAAAGACGGTCAGGTGGTCCTTTCTCAATCAGGACGGAAAGAGGAGGAGGAAAGTGGCAGGATAGAAAGGGAAAGAGGGAAGTGAGGCGAGTGCTGCCATTTGTGGAAATAAAAGGGAATTCCTGATATAGTGTAGGCCATGAATATTGAACAGGCTTGGACCGTGAAGCTGCTCTTGGTTTGGCTGAATAGTTAGTGCAGATGAAATGCTTTCTGGTAGAAGGAACAAATTCAGATTTTCATTCCAAAACTAGATTTCAAACATCAAAAAAATACTGGTAAAGCATCCAAATACTGCATGCTCTAAACGTGGTTGCTGGCATGAAAATAAAGCACACTGAATCTACACACGCATGCACACACACACACAACATAAAAAGACTGAATATTATATATTAAATAGTTATTAAGCTTTGTGCCACAGAACAACCTTTTTTGATGCAATGAGCATTTTTCATAGCACTGTACTTAATCAGCTTGATACAAATAGTTTACAGTGCCATAAGAAACAATTTCAGATTATTTTGTTCTTCTGTGCTCATATACTTACAGTACACACGCAACCTTTATGGTAATGTTAAAAAAAAAAAAACCCTGCCAAGCCCTGTGAAAATACAAGTTGTCCCATATGAGGTGTAGAAATAAAGAAATATATTTCTTTTTATTGCAAATGTTATTTGTGTATGAAAATAAAACTATACCAAACAGGTAACTTTTAGTAAGCTTTTTCAACTTTATTCAAGTTTTACTGCATACGTCTTCCTTATCATTATTCTTCATCCTCATCCTTTCTCTCTTACTCCTTCCCGCTTTTCCTTCTTTCACCCTCTTCCACTTACCACCTATACTTCCCGCTACCTCGCAATCACCTTCCTCCTTCCTGATGCTCCTGTTTTCACCATCCTGCTCCTCTCATTCAAGCAGGCCAATTAAAAATATACACGTAGGATTTTCCTAAAAAGCAGTGCTTAGACTCATAAAGAAGTAATCCCTATCGATCATCACTTATCACCTTTTAAAAGTGTGTGGCGGTGTATTTTTCTGCGGAGACTCTACCCCCTGCCTGTATTTTCTTATTCCTGTGTTTGAGATGTTTATGGGTGTGAACCTACAAAGCCCTCAAGCAAGGTTGGGGTTTCATAAAAAGGTAGCAGCCAGGTGCCAGACCGTAAGCAGCAGTCATTCAAGAGACACACCACCGAAAAACACAAATATAGCGTGGCGAAACATCTGGGATTGGCTTCTACTTTCACTTTCGCTGGCAAGCATGCTCACAAATACTAACCGACAATCCTGCATAGTACACCTTTAACCCACTTCACCTATCTTGCCATCTTTTCCCTCTCCAACTAGTTCCTTATCCTGATCTACGGATCTTACGGTCAATCTTTTTCCAATACCCATGTCCATCTCTTCTTTCTCGTCTCTCTCTCTCTCTCTCTCTCTCTCTCACTAAGCTATTCGGTGAGCACAGTGGGGTTATGGCTGTTTCAAAGCTTGTCTGCAGTCTAAAAGGTTGAGTGTATGTATTTCAAAGGCCAATTTAAGACCAAGAACAAGGGATCAGACTCTATAATGAGGATACTGTTCACACAGAGAGAGGACATGATGGTCTGCATTAACTCCCAGTGGCACTAAAGGAAAGGCTAGCCTGCCGCAGAGTTGTTACCAAGCAAATGCCACCTGATCAGCCATCTGTGGCTCAGAGGAGAATGAAATAAATCTTTGCTTTGCTCATAACTGAGCTGGAGCAACCATCAAGGGCAGAACTTCAGACAGATATGTGATCAATAGCAAAAAGACAATAGGGTCTCCCTGTTTTGGGCTTCACTCTCTGATAAAATGGCTGTGAAATTATAGGGTGGCGACTTTTATCCTAGATTCTTTTTCTCGGCGAAGGGGCCACATGCCTTAAACATCTGATCTGCTCATTAGACCTAGATTTACATTATTAATGCACAAACACATGCCTGTCTTACTGCTGTGATTATTACTCATTCAACACAATTCAGAAGTAACTGGTGCTGTATAGCAAACCATCTTGCCCAAGTGCACCTGAACAATGTTTGCTGTGTCAGGCGTCATCGCACAGATACCATCAAGTGTGTGGGTTCAAACAGGCAGCCACTCAGTCACAAGTCCACATCTCCATCCTCTTCATTACTCTCTACAAGGAGTAATGTAGGTAAAGTAATGAAAGTAAAATAGGTAAAGTAGGTGCCAAGTGGAGGAAATATGAGGATGTCTCTAGAGAGTTCTTATGGTTATAAATATAAGCTGTCTTACTGGTGGCTGCTGCTATAGAAACACATTCCACAAAAGCAACTACACATATGTGAATGTCTACTATTTTCACCTTTATTGGGTTGGCAGCAACAACAAAACCATAGTCTTTGACAAAATTTCAAAATAAAAAAATAGATACTATGTAATTCAACACACTCTGCCTCCTATTCAAAACATCAGCAGCCTAGTTGATTTAACACAAATGGGTGCGCCATACCTTTGTCAGAAGTTGTCTGATTTTTTTTTTTTTGTTTTTTGGCTGTACAGCAGATTATAAACAGAAACACACACTTTATATACAGTATACTCATATACAGTATATTGTGTAAAGGTTTAAACATAACTTCATAAATAAATACATATTATCCTGTCATTAATAAAACTCTTTTTTTACTAAAAGCCCCGATCAATGCACTTGAAAGTAAGATGACTTGTTTGAACAAGATAACAGTTTTGATTTCTAACACTTCAGTTTGGTCAGTGTAATACAGACACATATAAACAATTTCTTTTTTTAAATATTCATTCAGTGGCTCTTAGATTTTTAAAACCTTGAGTCAAGACACGCATTTCACATAACCCGCTACAAAAAAGAAAAAGAAAAAGCCCACCAAAGGAATGAATATTTGTGCAACTTCTGACCAAATGCTATAATCTCCACTTGAATGGTATATTCCAAATTTTACATTATGTGGTAACAACTGAACTATTTTATTTTATGCTAATACAAGATGTTGCTTTCTCTTGTTTTAAATGTTGTTGTGTTGTTATTTGTCACCATGTTGTGAAGATAATACAGCACTAATTCAGACCCTACAAATTTCTTCTACCACCCCACTGCACTATGCTCCAAAGAAGCACCAAAAACACAAGCTATCGAAATAAAAAATATCATCATAAGTCTAGTATTTGACACGGCTATGCTGTGGTTCCCTACTGCTATTCCTCATATATGCCAGGTCATACGGCTACAGAGGGGAATTCACAAGACTTAGACAAATCTGCTGTCTGCTCTTATCTTACAGATATGATGTAGACGTCAGATAGTAGAACATGTACCCACTTGAAGGCAGGAGTCAGACTGACTGTAACAAATGAATGACTTGACCCATTCTCGGTTCAAGTGGATACCTCTCTAAACTAAAAGTCATGGAAAACTAAATTCAACAACAACGTACCTTCAGATGTGCACATGGTCACAAGGTATGTTCATGTAGCCGGAAAATGTTTTGTAAAAGTGCAGCATGTCCGTGTAAGTGTAATTACTTCCCAACATCTTTTTTCCACTCTTCCTACAAAATACATTGTTAGGCACATATACAGAACAATCTGTATGCATTAAAGCTGCATAAAGCAATATCTTAAATACTAACACTGAATCAAACAACTCCTGGCTATCTTAAAGGGTGATTAATGCTGATGAACCCGCTAAGAATCAATACCCCACAATGCAGCTTTACACCACCTCACAGACTTGGTTATCTTAGTTGTCTGAACCAAAACAACCAAAACAATGCCGGCACATACAGTACAAACCATGGGCAGCCACTCCCAGCAAGTGATTATTTCAAGTTGTCTGTAGGCTACTGGCCTCATGCAAACCTGCAGAGAGCCGAAGTAAAGGAATGGTTGATAAATGAAGTCGAATACCTAGATAACCCAAACGAGACATTTTTTTTTTTCTGTTGGTTTTCTAAACCTTGTCTTAAAAACAATACTGTACTTACATTCATTGGAATGGTCAGAAAGACTCGGGACTGGAATGATCATGTAGCTCTGTTTTTGTGAAGTAGCCACAAAAATATAATAAGCTAAAGGCTTTCTGCGCAGTGGCTTCAAAAATCACTTAATGCAGCTTTAAAATGAGGAATGACTTACACAGGCTACTGTTAAGCAGCACTGAATGCAGTTACAATATCAAGGGGCTGGGTGCGCTGTGTCACTTGGTTTCTAGCATGGACAAATATACAGTACAAGCAAGGCTTCAACCACAGATGACACTACTACATGAGCAAAGAGGGAAAATCAGTAATTGGCTATAGTACGTGGCTGTATTCAAATGAATTATGCTTTGACACTCATCCAATGATCGAGGGAATATACAAGGTAAATTGACTGGAGTGCCTGAAATACTGTGCTGTAGCAAAGGGTGAGAATCACAGCCAAAGGCAGTCTTGTAGGTTGCTTTAACAACACACATCATCTGCACTTTGTATATAAAAAGCCCCATATTGGGGAACAGTCTTTAGATTTCATCAAGCTGGAATGGGTACAATAAAAAAACAACATAATTATTTTATAGCAGAATAGATTTAACTACCCATCTCCAATAAGGAGCCCATAAACAAACCAATTTCTGACACCTATACTCAGCCCAGTCATCTGTTGCTTGGGCACAGAAATCATGAAAAAAAAAAAAAAGTTACCAAATTTACACGTAAGACATTCAGGCCTGTAGTTTGAGGGCAGTATCATTTTCATCAGCAGCATCATTGGCAGAGCTAAAGAGTGTGGGGCAAATTAAAAGTAATGAGGATTGTTCGGCCAATGGTTTAACAAACCTCCACAAGATGAGCCACTGATAGCCTTAAACCTTTCTCACAACTAAGCATGTAATTTCAGATCAGTTAAGTTTTAGCCTCACAGTGACCTCCAGACAGATCAGATCACATTAATCTGAACCCAGGTCCATCATCTTTAACAAAGATAATTGTTTCACTGATAATCTTCAGGTCTGTGCTACCACTACGACTTCTCTTTCCTGTAAGTGAGTCAGGGAAGTTTGTGAGTGGGTTAAAGCAACATCCAAGAGGTGAATCTATAAATAATAATATCCTAAACTCAGCTCAATTGCAGGGTTCCGTTTCCAAACCTTTTCCATTTTAAATAATACTGTGAAATTCATAATTTAATACTTTTATTTTGAATTTAGACTTGTTAGAAATGACTGTTGAGCATTCATGCATCAAACTGTTAGCAGAATACTCATAACACGGCCATATCAGGAATGCCACACCAATGGTGGGAATGCTGACGCTGATGGGCTATTTCATAAGTGCAAGGGGATCTTGGGAAGAAACCTCTGGCTAGCATCAGTTCACTGCCCTCAATATAAAGGCCTCAGAGTCAAAACGACACATCATTTGTCTCAATTCTGGAAATAAGGTGCTTTTTAGCAGGCATGCACCAATCAATTGGTGACCAAACATAATTAGCTAATATGTAAATTGGTAAACAATGAAAGCAGCATGTCATCTGTGGATACACACTACAGTAATAGGCAATGTGTTAAATGGGTTGACAATTAGACCGTCAACAATATAGATTAGTAACCACATTGAGTCAAGTGAAAACTTTATTAATTCTTGTTTTGGTGGATTTGAACTTGATTTATGGATTTTAAACCTTCTTTCACCAGTTCAGATATTTTTAACAGTCCTTGGTCATCTGCTGTGATGTAGAAATATGTTTTGCCTAACTACCTAAACACTGCTATATTAGAGTTTTATGTTTTGAGATTACTGTTACATCAAGGTCTGATTAAACAACTTTATCCAAATTTAAACCTGCTGTCAGATATGCAATTTGCCAATCACTCTAACAATAGAAAAAAAATGCATCTGACCAGTACATCATGACTTTTTTGCATCTCTCCTCTGTTCACCTGTGCACACATCATGTTGACAAGACTCAACACAAAATGCTTTAGCAGAAATGGGCTGCGCACTTTTCTCTAGAAATCAGTCAAGGCCGTACACCATCTGTTATTTATCAGCAGCATAATGGCTGTCGTCAATGTCACTGTGTGTGTTCATACAGTTAAAAAGTCAAATGATCATTTAGAACCTTTAAACAGGTTTATGAGCACAAGTAAGTGTAGGCTATCTAGTCTCTGCTAATGACAGTCATAGAAAGCACGGAGACATCTGATAGAAGGTCAATCGAATTCACAACCACTAAAAAAATTTAACAGGCATGAAAAAGTGTGGTCACATTTAATGTCTGAGGAGATATTCATGAATCCTATGATAACTCAGTTATCCCACTATGTCTGACGTGGCTGATACAGTGACATACAGTGAGATGTAAAAGCTGAGAAAGCCATGGGGAGAGACTACTTTCTACATGACCCACAGCCAAGTCACATACCACAGAATATTAGTCATTTAAGTGTGCCCATCTCATTAAATCTCTCTGTTTAGACACTGCACCCATCTCCTCGAAAAGCTTATAATGCAATAAACCATGGTTTATTGTGACCATCGCAATGTCACTGGTGTCAGCTGACAGGCTGATGCAACAGAAAGTGTTTTCTGTTGGGTTAAGCCATGCCAATGTTACTCAAAGTTAACTAGCTGCTCAACTGGTTAAGATTCATATTCCCCATTGATAGATTCCAGCAGCATTCTCATCCTGTAAAAGTCATCCCTTCAGATGGAGCATGAGTTTGCCCTCTTCCTTGGTTTAGGCTCCCCGAAGTCCCTGTCATCGGCCGCACAATGGCTGAAGGAGCAAATCGTCTGTGAGAGCCTACGCATGCCCAGGCGGAACACACTATTAGACAGGCTGTAGATCACACAGTTGCAAAAGCTGTTGCTAATGGCCAGCCAGGTAGTGATGAAGGAGAGGGCAGGGCTGTCCAGCACATGGGAGCTCTCTAACAGGAAGTAGATTATGTAGGGCAGCCAGAGCATATAGAAAACGCTGGTGATGCGGAATAACACCATCGCGTAGCGCCGATCTGGTCCATGCCCACTGTGATGCCCGCCGCCACCGCCCTCACCAGCCTCCATCTCCTGGCTGGGAAAACGTGCCCGTCGTTCACTGATCTCTCTGTTGTGCTGCTGGCAAATGCGAAAGATATGGTAATACGTAAAACAGACCACAAGTGCAGCAGGCGCATAGAGCAAGCACACCACAAAGCCCGTGAAAAGGGCAGAGGTGGGCCAAGAGTGGGCACACCACTCAAAAATGTCTCCATGATAGCCTGGTTTACCCCACCCAAAGAACGAGGGCAAGAACACCAGGCTGGAGTAGACCCAGATTAGGGTGATGCAGCCTCGTAGCCGGCATGGCGTCACCAGCTGGTTGTAAGACAGTGGTTTTGTTATGGCCAGGTAGCGGTCCACACTGATGCAAGCCAAGCAGGCCATTGAAACACTCTTTAGAACAGAGATGACGTAGCTGAAGACCTGGCATGTGATGGGCTCCTGGACACCTGCTGGGTAGTGGAGCAGAGACAGAGTGGGCACCAGGCAGCTAAGACCCACCAGCAGGTCAGCATAGGCCATGGTCTGGATAAAGTAGCTGGTGGTGTAGTGGTGTAGCAGAGGGGCACAGTGGAACACGAAGATAACTGTCAGGTTCCCTGTGATAATGAGCACTGTCAGAAGTACAATGACGGCAGTCTCCAGGACGCAAGCCTCCAGGCCTTGGTTCAGCCCCCAGCCCAAGGGACAAGAGTGGTTGGTGGCCCTGCCAGGAAAGAAGTCTCCATGACTGCTGTTGGCAGCGAGCACCGGGTCCGTTGTCAGTTCAGACTGGTTCATTGTTCTGGGCACTATCCAGGTGGGTCAGGTTTGTGATGTGTCACCCATAAGGCAGCTGGCCTGAAACTGGAGAACTGCCTGTCCCCCCCACCCGCTCTATACTGGGTGTCTGCAGCCTTCTTCAGTTAACGGAGCTCAATACTCTCTCTAACACACTCACTCTCTCTTTCACCTTACTCTCACATAGCTGGGTCTCAATCAAATGAACACTGACTGGAGGAAAATCAATAAAGCCTCTGGGAGGGTAGGACAACCCGTTTAGCTCTCCTTTTCCAATCACTCATGGTTAGTGAAAGTAGTGGGTGGGTAACAGTCAGGAGTAGGGAGAAAAAACTGTATTCCTTCAGTAAACCAGGGTAGCATTAGTGCTGTAGCCAGCATCAATCCCAGCGGCGACTTTCCCTGCTGCTTTGCCTGCCAGTCTGTGGCCTCATCTCCTGATCCTAATGAGGGATGCCACAGGGAGGCTGAGGGCATAAGCTGTCCGCACAAGGGCGGAGAGCACATAGGATGCGAGAGAGGACACCATACAAAGAGGTTAAAGCGTGAAGGAAAGCACAATGCTCTCTGCTCTTGACGGATCCTTACAGGAGATCAGATGAGTAAGCAGCATATGGTTCTGATTTCACTCCTGGAGATCAGATGAAATTTACTGAGTGGTTACCTTTAAAAAATAAATTGTAGGCAACAACTGCTACGGGGAAAAAATGTTCTTACGAGTCTCTCTGGAAATGTAAATTATATCCATCTCTGCAAATCAACCCCTTTAAATTAATCCAAAGTTTCACTGCGCCATGGGTGCTGGCGTGTTTACAATGTTACAGCAGGCTTCCCTTATTTTGGTGGTCCTCTGGTCAGTGTCTGGAGCCCATGCATGCCCAGCTATTGTCTGAATCAAAACACAGACACAGGCTAGAACAACATGGGGATCTCCGCAGGAGATAATGTCACAGCTCTCTCAGCACACACAGCGCTGGGGGGAAAAATGTGTTTACAAGGCATCCCTAGGCAGAATGAGGTAAAAAAAAATCAAGCGTGTCAACATGTCTGGATGAAGTTCTGCTATTAAAGTGATTTAAAGTTTAAATCCAAATGTGCAAACTTGCCTCTCAGTGTTCTGGACTGCAAGTCGCGAAAGACAAACAAATGTAAAAGTCCAGTAGCTGATGAAAGTGTTGAATGTAAGACTCCCATGCAGGCAGGTGGAAGGACTCTCCTGGAGCAATAAGAGGCCAGCTGAATAGCTCAGCGCTCCTCTCACTTTGACTCCTCAGCAATCCTGTGGCAGACACTTGCAGAGAGGGGTGTGGGAATCAATCAGAAATCCACCTATTTATCCCATAAACGTGTTACTTGCATTTTTGTTGTGACATTCTGAAGCACTGGCAGGGGAGGCTTAGCACCTTCTCCTCAAGTGCTTAATGCAACCATAGATTTTCTAACTTGCTTTAGTCCTTTGAAGTATTAACTCTGTATAGTTGTAGAGGTATGGGGTCCTACAACTCCTCTCTCAGAGTGTCTGTCACCCTGAACAAAACACTGGCAGCGCAACAAAAGGGAATCCACTCTAGCAGCATAAAGAAAAGACCAAGTCCCAGTCGGAGTCCCAGTTTCAAGCACTGTCCTCTGCAAACGTCCCCCTTTTTAATTCCGTTAAACAGGACAACCCACGTTTTCAATACATAAATCCTTAGATCCTGGCATACAGAAAGAAATGAATGTAATGCATCTGTCAGAAGCAGCAAGTAAAAAGCAAGAAAAAAAGGATGACTGCGCTGATGGAAATGAGTTAAATCTGCAGCGAGGGAAGCGAGGGGACGAAGAGTCCCTCAGCCCTGGTGCAGTGAGAAGGAGAGATGCTGTGACTGGCTTACACTTCCCTCCCTCCCTCTCCACACAATCTCTCTAGCTTGCACACTCAACCTCTCTCTCTCTTTCCACACACACACACAGACTAACTCAAACACACACACACACATGAACCCTCCCTCTTTCTCGCTCCCTCTCCCTCAGCTTCTAGCTCATTGCCCCGCCTCCTCCCATCCCAGCTGCACCTGAGGCTCCCTGCCACATTATTCTGTCTCTCACACTGGCTTTCACCCAGAGGTAAATTTGGATACATTTCCTATTTACATATTACTTATCTCTCACAGTCTGTTTTCTATTAACTAAAGTCCCCTCCACCCCCTCCTTTTCTTTCCTTCACTGTTTCAGTCCCACTTCCTTCCCACAATCTCCAATTCTCCACTCCATACATTTACCTAGCCCCAGTATGTAAAAAAAAAACAAACACAAATTTATATTTCAATTATACATAAAAACAACCTACAACATTGAAAATATAAGATGAGATAAATATCCCAGCATAAAATAGCAAAACACATTTCATGACATCATGAGTCACTCACTGTACTGTCTCTACTTTTGGGGGGTTGAAGAAAAGAAAACAGCTGTTAGTGTCAGTGGTCATCAGCCTCACTTTCCGACACACATTATCACACACTGTTAATGACGACAGGATGACACTCAACCTTAGTAATCCCATGAAACATCTTGAACAGCTAATCCTAGTTAAATGAATTCTTTCCCTTATCTAGCCAGGCTCCAGGTTCTTCTGGATACTTTATTTATTCTTTATTCAACCAACAGCTTAGCGCAGCTATGCCTGCCCCTTAGTTACAGTTGCCCAGCCTTTCGGCCGGTTGGGAGCGTCCTCTGGCCGGCAGATGATAAAGAGGATCAAGTGACAGCAAATTAGCTAAGCAGAAGGGGCGGATGGAAAGAAAGTGTCAAGCATGGTGGCTGGGCAGGAGAATCTTGCAAAGAGAAAATTCAGAGCAACTTTGGTAATGTTATCACTTTCTTTGTTTTTTAACTGTTAGAGCCGCTTAGAGGCAACGAGTGGTGGCTGGCTGCAAGTTGGATGGAAAATGGCTACTTTGGAAAACAATACTGCACCTGGCCTCTTCCAGGAAGTGTAGAGTGCTTTGATTATTTGAAAAAAAAATGTCTGAAAGGAGCAAACATAACAGGAACTAAATCCTTAATGGAAAATATAGACATCCTGTCAACCGACACTGTATTCTTATATACTGCTGATGGACAAAGGAAAACATGATGCTATTCAAATGCATATCTTATTTGACAAAACTAAAAATTCTAGAAGAGCGTTTGGTCCAATCCACACAGAAAGTCACATACTGTATGAAACCATCAGAGCGAAAAATGAAATGTGCTATCTAAACAACAAGGAAATATACATGCCTTACAAAGAAAGAGCCATTCACAGACACTAACTGAACCTAGACATGACTGAGTGTCCTTGAGAACCATGTAATACGTTGTAAGAATATTATACAGGAAAAGGAGGCATGCAGCCAATCCAATCCTTTAACACACCTGTTTATGACAGAGCATTCAACTCAATAAAAATGTCTAACACAGACTGGTTGACTTTAAGTATGGAGGCAGAAGCTACTTAGATTTAACTTAGAGGGGTGCCCATTTGCATCTTTGTGTAAAAAATGTCATTATTTTACAAAATAAATTAAGAATGTGTAGTTCACTTTACAAATTTAAAGGTCCAGTGTGTAGGATTTAGAGCCATCTATTAGCAGAAAGGGTATATAATATTCAAAACTATGTTTTCATTAACTTATAATCACCTTAAACTATGAATCACTGTGCTTACAGTATGTTACCTTAATAGGAGTTTTATCTACGTATGGAGCAGGTCCTCTTCTCTGGAGCCCGCCATATTGTTCTCCAGCACCACAGAACAGACAACCAAATACCGGCTCTAGAGAGGGCCATTTCTGATGTCATGTTTTTGCATCAACCACTGTGGTCCGCCTACAAGCTTTGTACATGGGAGAAGTTTCACATCCAGAGGGCACAAAATTTTACACACCGGAACTCTAAAAATGTTGAACAATAAGGTGGTAAAGAAATATAAAACTGGGGTCTGATTATTATTGTGTCTGAAATGTTATGGAATTTTGTGAATGTTTCTGTTTTCGTTTCTGTATAACTTAGTAGTAAATAAGTCACTTATGAGAATATGCTAAGCTAAAAGGGTAGGTATAACAAGCTTGAGCTTCAGCTTACACCTTTTAGGCTACAATATTGTTTCTTTTTAATTTAATGGCTTGATGTTTTTCATTTATTATGTGCATTCTTTCTGTAAAATTGTAATTAAGGACCAAAATTAAATACTACAATCTTACTACTATTTCTGTTTTTTTGTATATTGTTTATCCAGATTGTCAACAATAATATAATAAGCATTAATTAACGTCAGTAAACATAAGTATCACTGCATTATGTGAATTAAATAGAAACATTTGTTTTTGTCTCACATTCATGCACATGTAAATATAATGACAACTAAATTGGCAAGTCATTCCTGATTCAGTTGACGGTTCACCAACTTAAAAAAAAAATCTAATAAATTTACTGTTGAGACCGTGAATCACAGCCCTACTAAAAAAAGAGTAACACACAATACAACATGAGTTATGTCACCAAGTTGTATTTTGAGCCACAAGCTATGAAGTGAGGGGGTGAAACTGTACAACATGGACAATATGCAACATATACACTGAACAAAAATATAAAGGCAACACTTTTGTTTTTGCTCCCATTTTTCATAGGCTGAACTCAAAGATCTAAAACTTTTTCTACATACACAAAAGACCATTTCCCCTCAAATACTGTTCACAAATCTGTCTAAATCTGTGTTAGTGAGCACTTCTCTTTTGCCGAGATAATCCATCCCACCTCACAGGTGTGCCATATCAAGATGCTGATTAGACAGCATGATTATTGCACAGGTGTGCCTTAGGCTGGCCACAATAAAAGGCCACTCTAAAATGTTCAGTTTTATCACACAGCACAATGCCACAGATGTCGCAAGTTTTGGGGGACCGTGCAATTGGCATGCTGACTGCAGGAATGTCCACCAGAGCTGTTGCCCGTGAATTGAATATTCATTTCTCTACCATAAGCCGTCTCCAAAGGCGTTTCAGACAATTTGGCAGTACATCCAACCAGCCTCACAACCGCAGACCACGTGTAACCACACCAGCCCAGGACCTCCATATCCAGCATGTTCACCTCCAAGATCGTCTGAGACCAGCCACCCGGACAGCTGCTGCAACAATCGGTTTGCATAACCAAAGAATTTCTGCACAAACCGTCTCAGGGAAGCTCATCTGCATGCTCGTCGTCCTCGTCGGGGTCTCGACCTGACTGCAGTTCGTCGTCGTAACCGACTTGAGTGGGCAAATGCTCACATTCGATGGCGTCTGGCACGTTGGAGAGGTGTTCTCTTCACGGATGAATCCCGGTTTTCACTGTTCAGGGCAGATGGCAGACAGCATGTGTGGCGTCGTGTGGGTGAGCGGTTTGCTGATGTCAACGTTATTGATCAAGTGGCCCATGGTGGCGATGGGGTTATGGTATGGGCAGGCGTATGTTATGAACAACGAACATAGGTGCATTTTATTGATGGCATTTTGAATGTACAGAGATACCGTGACAAGATCCTGAGGCCCATTGTTGTGCCATTCATCCACGACCATCACCTCATGTTGCAGCATGATAATGCACGGCCCCATGTTGCAAGGATCTGTACACAATTCCTGGAAGCTGAAAACATCCCAGTTCTTGCATGGCCAGCATACTCACCGGACATGTCACCCATTGAGCATGTTTGGGATGCTCTGGATCGGCGTATATGACAGCGTGTTCCAGTTCCTGCCAATATCCAGCAACTTCGCACAGCCATTGAAGAAGAGTGGGCCAACATTCCACAGGCCGCAATCAACAACCTGATCAACTCTATGCGAAGGAGATGTGTTGCACTGCATGAGGCAAATGGTGGTCACACCAGATACTGACTGGTTTTCTGACCCCCCCAGACCACCCCAATAAAGCAAAACTGCACATTTCAGAGTGGCCGTTTATTGTGGCTAGCCTAAGGCACACCTGTGCAATAATCATGCTGTCTAATCAGCATCTTGATATGGCACACCTGTGAGGTGGGATGGATTATCTCGGCAAAGGAGAAGTGCTCACTAACACAGATTTAGACAGATTTGTGAACAGTATTTGAGGGGAAATGGTCTTTTGTGTATATAGAAAAAGTTTTAGATCTTTGAGATCTTTCAGCCCATGAAAAATGGGAGCAAAAACAAAAGTGTTGCGTTTATATTTTTGTTCAGTGTATGATGAGAGTACTTCATCAGCGACTGTGAGGTGAAGTATAAAATAATCTACCATGCAGACGGACAGCTCTTTGATTGTCATGGAGACCAGATATTCTTCAGCACCTGTGTTGCTTAATTTGGTAATTCAAGAGAAACAGTGTGATGGAAACAGAGAGAAAGGAAAAATAAAAATAAAGAGAGACAAAGTGAAGACTAAAAAAAAAGTTCATGTATCCAGTTGTGCAGTCACTATGGAGGGAGCCAGTCAATGGAGGTCTCTCAGCACAGTGCTCTTTACCTTTGGAGGTGGACACTGATGAAAAACACGACCAGAAGGCCACCGTTAATAATTCATTCTGCTCCAAAACAAAGCCAGCAGGGCCACTTGGAAACAAAGGTGGAGGCTGATTCACCTTTCACTGCTTCCCAGCATCCCACCCTCCTCCACCCCTGGGCTCCTGCTGATTCCAGAATCAACAGCAATGTGTTGGCATAAGCAGGGAGTTTACAACTACATTACAGGTGTTAAGCTGATAGCCTTAACCAGAGCAGCTTACAGTACGGACAGTAAGGAGGTACGGGGTTCACCATCTTGTTCAAGGACATTTCACCAAGACAAGGTGAGTAAGTAATT